AATCCTCACAGGGAGTCAAACTCATTGCGTGTACTTGACACAGTTAGACGAGCACCCATTTTTTACTACTACATATTTGCTACTCATAATTTGGACGAAATATATTTGAAAAAAGAAATAAATAAACTTGACTCTCAAAAGCATCGAAACTCTCATTTTTACTATAGCTAAATTTCACTAGCGAGAAACTTGTATCCGTTGTTCATGTATTTACTCCACGTTGAACAGTATACCTAGGATAAGTTCCAACATTTACTGACAGTACTGTAAAAGTAATTACATCTCTCTTGGATGCGTATGGATGAATAAGGACACAGTGTTGGTGACAGTACTGCCAGTAACATTCGGAACATACTTCGAGTCTCGTAATGATAGAGAAGTAACTATAAACTTATTGCTACCTCGATTTATTGTCAACGATTTCACAGAGATACGTCGTTGCCGATCAACACACTATTTTCCCGTCGTTCAATGAGCGATTGAAAAGTAGACAACTAACTCACCAGTGATCCTTATTTCAGGTAACAGAATATATAGTTGAATCCATAGGTACAGCTGCAACCTCTTGGCTATTGCGTAGTGCCATCAATTACTGAAGCTGCTGTTCTAATTAAAATAAATAGCCAGTCTAGTGTATTCTCCCAAGCGGCTTGTCTAGTTTACGTATTCTCCATCTTTTTGTCATCTGGTTACCCATTCCGCCGCTAGATGCCACATAACTCGAGTGGCGCTCCAGTCGCAATCATAATTCAGTTTACTTTTCTCGAGCACTGAGAAAGCCGGGCGGAAACTCGTTGTTATCCTCGAGAGTGTATAGTCAGCTGTTTGCGTGCTTTCAAGAACAGCAACGACAGAAAAATAAAAGTACGAGGAAACAAGACGAAGTGGAAGAAGGGCAAACAGTGCAACGCGAAGAGCCGATGAGAGAATCGAAGCGTCCTTGTTTCTACAATACCAATTAGTCGTGCAGAAATGATAATATGTACTGCAGTAGGTAACTCTATCATACCGACTAGAATTTTCTCCAAGCTCAGTAAGTCCTTTAATACCTATCTTATTAACATTGTAATCTAACCTCTACCGTCAGAATGCCAATTGCCGTTCAGAATAGTAAAAGACGATACTTGAATTATACTTTGTGCTTCTCAAGAGACACGGCATCCATTTTCCATGAATGAAATTCCTCTGGATCATTACTCAGATCAGAACCCTCGGTTTTACGTAGCAATGCCAAATTATTCGCTACGAATCTTAACCCTTTTAGCGTGGCATCCCTGGATACGCGAATTCCCTACGGAAATATCTGACAAGATTTACAGTATTATCCTTTCTCCCTAAAATTTACTATCGAATTATAGTCCCAGGGTGCAGCCCAGATAAAATGCATTACCTTACGGAAAGGCTGAGAAATAAGTTATACAAGAAAAATAAATGATACAAAATTTATAAGAGCAAGGAAACAAAAATTGACACGCATCATCACTCTCTCTAGCCATTAGCAACTTCTTCCTTATTCTACAGCTGTTCAAGTACTTGTGCTCCTCTTTAAACACAACTGAAGCACGATACAAGCTTTTTAAGCAGCCACATTAGTTTAACTACTTCCATTTCAATCAATTTTCAACCTGAATACCTCCTGCTCTGCTTTTTCATCTAAATACCCCACAAGAATTCGCTTCAAACTCAATAAGATAAATAGTTAAAATACTTGGAGTTTCTAGTCTACCCAAGTAGCATACTGATCCTGAATTTTTTTAATTTTCACAAAACAACCTTTCTTTCGAAAGTTGCCTGTTTTTGCATTTATGGAAACAAGGCCTTTTCCATCTCCACGTCTACAAGAGATGCTCATGTACGTACCGACTCGTGGACTTGGAAGTAAGAATGTGTTAGCAGCCGGACGGCACTGAGGCCATTGAGTGAACGTGGCTGTTGGGTAGAGTAAGAAGTGAGCGACCCTCTCGCTTAATGCACTTATAACTAAATTATCTTCACTTGTTGGGAGGACCCGCTTGACATCTCGTAGCGTTCAAGAGAATGCGCAGGATCGTAAATCCTGCAGGATAGGAGGACCCCCTTGCTGAGTAAGCGTTTATATATATATTTTTTTATCACAATAATTCACTCTTTTTTCTCGTTAACTCTGTCAATACACGACCACGTACTACCGGTAGTTTCATTACGAGCGACACATTGCTATTCACGTATAAATATACACATGAAAAATTGCAAAAAGTCATGGTGCGAGGATTACCGTTGAATGTTAATTATTATTAGTTATGTAAAGAGTGTACCGAGCTCGTCCGATGTCGAGGCAGGAATACAAATAATCTAGTTTTCATATTCCTATCGTTTGAAGTTACCTTCGCTGGATGAAATATTTATGCTGCCACGGATGGAAGTTCGTTCGCTATATACAAATATACGCTACGTGCTGAACTATGAATATTTAGAAATTTTACCAGAGAGTATACAACGAGATGAATTTTGCTGTCTTCCAACGTCAGTATACGCCGAGGGTTTAATTATCTTTGATAAGTTCTCACGAATATTGGTTCCAATATCGTGAGAAAATATCTGTCCCCGTTAATACGTAAAACATTGACTCGGTGCGCATGCGCGACAACTGTCATATCTTTCCGTACGAAAAATAATGCCGTAACGTAGCGCCATGCATAGCGAAGCTTGGACCGATGAATTTGACAAGACGTGTAAAGGGGATATCAAGTGAAATAAAGAAAGGAGCAAAGAAAAGATAAGTTTTCTAGAAAGTGGCAGAGCGCCAAAAGTATAAACTATCCGTGGGCGCGTCAATAGCGACGGCAGCTTGATTTAAGACGAAAGAACAAATTTTTCAAGTTCTTTGCAAGTCGCAGGCCCAGCTATGGTATCCTGGGAAATGGACGGGAAGACCTTCTTCGGTCTTTCAGTCTGCCCTCCCCTTACCTCATTCTCCTATTATCTCGGCGATTCTTCCCGACTGTACCGACCGACAATCTTTTCACTCGAGAAACGAACAGCCGACTACGCGGTCATGGCGACGAACAACTATGTGTCCTACGAAAGGGTATTAACGTCCTAACTCATTTTCACCGAAAATTGAGTTACAATGACATCAGATCGTAGAGCTGCCAAAGAGGGGTGTGTACATTGTTGAGTGTTCGCCGAAGGAGAGAAACCGTCTCGCCGACCCCTTCAATCGGGGACACCACCTCGTTACGTACTGATGGAAAATTCCAATACAGCCGTCCCCCCTCTTTACTTAGTTACGTTTATTTTATAGGAGCACAACGCGGCTATAAGAGCCGAACGTTCGTCGGGGTGAAACGACAAAGGGAAGAGGGAAGAGAAAAGTTTTTTTTTTTTTTGTAAGAAAATATTTTTTTTTACTCGACGAAAAAATTACGAGCCTACGTTAATTTAATTCGAACGTCTTTTATTGATTGTGAAATTCTTTGTTGGCCTCGATCCGAATTATATCACGCGCTCTATTTCGAAATGCCATATCGGATTCAATAAAATACACTTTGACACTGATACTGGTTCTCATAAAGGAACATGGACTGTTACTGATTCTGGGTAAGTTTGAATGGACTCGTTATAGCTCATGCGAACTAACTCGAGCTATGCTCGGTGCCGACTTCGCGAAACGTGGTCGCTGGTATTTTGAATTGAATATAGAGTCTTTTGCATAATCAGGAGTTACATAGAGATATCACTGGCTCGGAATTATATGATTGGCTCGGGGATATTTCGTAGGAACTGGGGATGATTTTCTTAGTGAAATTGCATAAATCGACGATGGACGATGCTGCGGGAAATTACTGCGAACGATCTTATGGATGGGATATCGGGTCACCATGTCCTAATCGAAATTTTCATTTTATTAAATAACACTGTCTAATATTCATTGGCCTTTAACTGTATTAACCAAAAAAAGGCAACTCGGCTCAGTGAATTCGTTTCGAAGAGCTTGCAACTTTTCCAAGGTCCACGATTCAAATTACAAGAGTAACGAGAATCCAGTGTCATCCCCTGCGGGAACTATAAATTTGGGTGAAAAAAAAAAAAAAAAAAAACCGAGTCTCCGACCATACATTCTGCCGGGCAATACGCGTCAAAATTTACGTGGTCCTCGCGCCCGGCCACCATATTGAAAAAGTTTCGGCGGCCAAGACGTTAAGCTTTACAAAGTTAAAAGTCAACTCGCGGACCTGTAGGCAATCGTTATTTTTATCAGAGCGGAGCGTGATTTCCTATTCTGTTTACATTGCGAATATTGACTCGCTCCGTCCTTCTTCCTTTATGCGAAGAGTCACAGTGAATTTCTGCGATAGGGAATTGTATTTTTTTTTCTTTTCTTTTTTTTTTTTTTTAATTTCCCCGTACAATGATTACCGAAGAAAAAAGAATGAAGGCAAATCTTCGTAAAATCGCCGAAAAAGTCACGTGACTCGAGGCGAAGGGAAATGAAAAGAAAAAAGAAAAAGAGAAACAAGATCAGAGTTCGCGGTATCCACTTTACAGTAAGAACAGCTTTTTGGTTCCGCGTAATTGCACGGCACTCGCTCCGGGGTAGCCGCGTCGTTAGGAAGACATTTTATCGCCAGAGGTGAGACCAGAATTCAACGTGTGTCATCCCAGATTCGGCAACCGGGAAGGAACTCGCTTTGTCATTCAGCAACGTGACTCCTGCTCGGGTCTCCCGGTGCAATAATATACATAGCCACGTATGTTGGTAGGAGGGTATCGTAAGGAGAAGCTACGTTGGATTTACGGGCATCCGCAAAAATAAATAGAATTCTCAAGAGTCACTGATTTCGTTGCAGCGGAGAGGCTAAGCCCTGGCAATTTCTTTTTATTTTCATCCCCTTCGAAAGGGAGTGGACACCAAATGGGAGAAGAATAGAAATAAAAGAGGAGATTAGATATCACGTGTCAACCGCGGACGGTCGGTGGTTTTTGAGAAAAAATAAAAAATGCAATTTTTTTTTTTACAGATAACACGTCAACCGTTATCTATACTGATACGTAACCGGATGGTCTGACCTGGTTGGTGGCTGGCAACAAAATGGAAATGAGGTCAAGGAAAAAGTTAATTAACAGAAACTTGAATTCCTGGATGCTGGGAGAAGAATGGAGCCGCATAGGCTATTATGTATCTGACTAGGTGCATTTATACAGTCACAGGCAGTATGGATATTGGAGTAGCAGACGAAAGGGTTGAAGGTATGCGTTTACTTTACAAATACAGCAATTCCCTAATTTGATATCCATTGATTATGTTATGTGGTTTATATTTATTCGTATGTTATGCAGGGGCAGCAAATGTTACATGGAGAAGACCAATTTCATCAACGGCAAGATGTGTAGAATAACAGCGAGAATCCACCCCAGGAAAAATTATTATTAGAGTTACAATTCACTTTCGTTCCGTTCCAATTAGTCTAATAATCCTAATGGCACCAAATACTAATTTTCTTGATTATCTTTTCAGAAGAAGATACGACCCCGTCCTCTCACGGTTACCTTGCTGCTCGCCACGATGGAATAAAACCACAGGATGCATCATTTTTCAACGAATTTTTCGACTGGCTGTACGTGTCCGCGAGGAGACACGCTGCGCGACAAAGAAAATAAGAGAAGGAAATTTTATCCGAAAATAAAGAGACAAAAAGGAGAGGAACCCTTTGGTGGTACATTAATCGAGGCAAATCTCATCGACGTCATGCCACGTTGGATGAAAATGCAATCGGCAGCTTGGCGGAGAAGGAAAAATGAAACGCATGATAATAAAGAAAAAAAAAAAGAAGAAAAAAGATCGAAAAAGTGGAGTAGACGGCAAAAATAGTGCAAAGAAATTTTTCACCTCTCTACGCTCGTTTTGCGCGAACCACACATAAATATGCATGACGCGAACGTGGGTGTCCGTTTGCGAGCTTCATGAATTTCTCTCTGTGTTATTACTTTTAATATAAAACTCGTAAAAGGAGAAATAGAGCAAAAACAAACGAGCGATAAACGATGCATGGCTACGTAGCAAAAGCATGTGTGTATTACACGTATGCACGTATGCATAAAGTTGGGTATACGAAGGGAATGATGATTCAAGCAAATATAACGCTAATTTACTGTATGCTCGAAACGGTAGAAGGAAAAAAAAAACAGTGGCCACTTTCTGCAAGGTGCGAAAACAGATTTCACTAGAAGAAGAAAAAAAAGATACCATCTAGGGATTTTCTAGACGGTACCAATTTTCCATCTATCTCCGAACGACAATCGTTCCCGGTACCCAGAGGTATCTCTCCAGGTCAGCGGTGCCTCCGTATTCATGCCAGGAATTTAACTTCCGGTAAAAAGAACGACGTGAACCGGAATTGACGAGCTTAGAACGAATTCCGCGGTGTTCGATGGAGCTTGGAAAAATGCGTCAAAATACAACACGAAAAAGTCTGGGAAAAAATTAATGTGGCATCTAATAAAAGAGCAAACCGGAAACTGGATAAAAGTTTGGCGATTCCAGATGGCGAGAATGAAACGGCGTGGGGAGGAAACTTTTTAGAAAATAAGTTTAAAAAACTTCTATACAAGGCAGAAAGATTCGAACGAAATTTGCACTAGAATTTACATATATGTATAAGACTTTTAAAACTCCTTTTGTACTTTTTAACGCTTGCGAAAGGAAGTCTTATTTCACTGGCACTGTTGCTATATGTATATACAACATTTCCTGGCGGCAAATACAAATTCAACGCGGCAAATGTCTGACGTATAATTCTTGTTAGGATTATAGGGGAATATCTTGTTAGCAGATAAGTCTTGCGTAACCCTTGAAGTTAAAAGGTGTGATACAAAGACGTTATATTATTATTATATATATATATATATATGACTGTATATTATATACACGTGTTTTTATACAAGGGTAGAGTGTACGAAGGTGGGAACCCCTGTCGCCCGACCGTACGGAATTTCATTAATAGCCATAAACAAAGCGCGAGACGAATAGCCAAGTTATCGCGAATCGTAAGAAATACAAAAAAAAATACATCCGAGCCATTCGAAGAGCAAGAATGGTGGGAAACAACAGCCGAGCTGAAAGTCGCGTAAACCCCTTTACCTCGAGAACAAGAGGAGCTCCGTTCGACGTATTGTTCTCTGTATCTAACGAGAGCCAACCTTTTGCCGTGCTAAAGGCTCCATCCATTAACAAATAAAGGAAACTTCCTTCACTCACTCTCGCCTACTATGCAATAGCCAAATATATAAATACACGTATACAACCCCCCAGAAGGTAGACACTGTATGGTTTTAAATACAAAGTCGCAAAAAGTACATCTAACGAACACAAAAGAAAAAAAATGGTTATCAAATCCCAAAATTCTATTATGTTTTTCGAAAAAAATGCAAACAATTTTTTTTATCACGATTATTCATTACAATAATAAAAAAGACCCCCGAGGTATTACGTGAGTCGTGAATTAAAGGATTTTTCCAAAATATTGTAATGCCAAGTGAAATGAAAATCCAAGACAAATTACATGGTTCATGGGATAACCAAGGGGGGCTTATATTCGTGGGCGGTTGGGAGTTATAATAAATTGTGAGTAGATTTGGTAAACTTACTCACTTTTTTTTTTTTTTTTCACCTATATTTGCTACCGTTTAAAACTCGATACAGTACAAGGATTTCCGCATAAGACACGTCTATAAGTTAAAATGCGAAAATAACGTAAAGCCACTCGCGGCTCTATACCTTTGATATCTATATACGTTATATAGATATACGATATCTATCTATCCGTATCTATACAGACTGTATATCTCTACACGGGAAACGTGTTCGCGCGACGGCCGTCGCGATGATACTGCGCCCTATTGGACGGCCCTGCGCAAATATACCAAGGCTCCTCTCCACCGCGCCCTAACCTACAAACTACCCCCACTTACGAAGCCACCCCTTGCCTTCTTCAGCGGCAACCCTTGCGCGCGCCATACCCGAAGCGTCGGACCCGAACCCGAAGTGAGGCCGAAGCGAGACCGCTTTGTGTTTCCGGATGCAGAGTCGTCCACCTTCTGCAAGGTAGGCATCCCTTCTCGTACTTTTTCACCCTTAACTCATAGTTTCCTTAACTTCAGCTTTTTCATCAATTTCCATTCATCCAATACCCCACAGTCTGGTAGACAGAAATTTTCAGCCTTTACCTTCGACCCCCGAATCCTCACCGGGTACCACCCACCATCCCTTATACCTGACTCCTTTGTTTTGCGCTCAACGCGCGTACGTGACGCGCTGTGTCAGAATTTAAAATGAAGAATTTAATTTTCTACGTATCAACCCCCTATGGACCCGTAATAACTTTTGTGCCTTTATCATTATTATTATATCGACTCGCAACAGTCATTGCCAATTTCAGTTACGATTATCCAACCCCCTATATTTAACTTGGAAATCGGTACAATGCCTTCCCGGCATCGTCCCCTACCGAATACATCAATATAGCACGTTCTATAAGGAGGAACACACACCCATTCAGCCTGTAAATACGGATTCCTCATTTCCTTCCTGTTTCACTTCTCTTCGCAGTGTAAATCCCAGTGATTGAGTGTGGCTCCTCTCCGGCTACTCAAAGGGGTTGACCCATATTCAGCTAAAACTTTAACACGGCCGACGCTCGTTACATCTCCGAGACCAAAAATTCTCCCTGGGCTTTGATCGAACGTAGGACGGACTAGTGACAGAAGTTATTACGGACTGGGTATATCTTTTGTCGGTGGTACTTTCGATGCCGAGTATATATATTTTTTTCTTTATAGACCATCCACTCCGTTCTGAATATTTCGCGTCTTTTTCTTCGAAAAATTCATGCCTTGGAATAGTTCGGCTTTAATTCTTTCTACTTTTTTTTTTTTTTTTAAATACGTACAGTTCTTACTTCTGTGATCTTTCGAGTTTCTTGATTTGCTAGCATTATATATATATATATTTTTCATTTTCCCTTGGAGACCCCTACGTAACTGAAGGGATGCTGGGTCTATACGTGATCTGGAGGTTTCCAATGTTAAATTCCTATTGGTAGCAGCCCGAAACGAACTGGTTGAATTGTTTTGTTGAATGGGGATTTAGCTTGTGTCTGTATTTATATGTATATAGGCGTATGTACGCGTACCAAACATTGATTGATAATAGCTATAGGTTAGGTATGTGTATCCTTGAGAGTGAGTGAGACAGTGCGAGAGGGATAGACAGGGAAAAAGAGACGCGGATTAAAAACGATTACGAAATTTGTCGAATTTCCAAAAATGTTAAATTTCAATTTTACAAGTTGAAGTTTCTGATGCCTTCATTATAAATTATCTCGTCGAGCGGTTAATTAATTTTGATCATCTACCATTTTCAACCCTTTTCCACTTACTTCTGTATGACTATGCAATTTCAAGTGCGGTAATTGACCTGACACTTTTCAAAATTCAATTCTAATTTAAATATAGATATATATATAATGCTGACACAGACGAGTTAATTCGACACACGATTGTGAATCCTAATTTGCCGAGAGAGTTTGCGATTTCGCGTGATCGAGCTTGATAGTGGAGATTGGGAACTTCTGGGCGTATTCGGATTGGCTGAGAACTCGTATAAAGGAGAAAGAAAAACAGAAGGAATGAAAACGACTGGGAGAAGCATTAAAGGAATTTAAAGTAATCGAAAGGATCAGCGGACCGAGGAGCGAGAGTTCGATTACTGCGAACCAGGGGTATAAGAGGGTCTCGCTATCAAAGGGTGAATAACAAAGGGCTTAAAACGTAAAAAAAGACAAATCTCCAAGTTTTTGGTGGTTTTCAAGGTATCGTAAAGCGCTTACGCATTCCGTTAGGTTGACCCAATTAAGAAACAATGATGCTTATCACGTGGGTGACAAATACAATTTTTGTTATTTCGACGTCACTTTTTTTTACTTTTCATTTTTATTTTTTACCTTGTATTTTTACTTTATCGATATCTTGGGTTATAAATTTTCGTAATATTATTATTATTTCAATTTTCATTTCTTATCCGACACGTGGAAGGGATATCGAAAATGTTTTCAGAATTACATCAAGTCCCTTACGTATTACGGTCTGTCGAGTCTTCGGAATTGGCTGGAAGTGACAGGCAACTGTCAAAGCGTATAGGATATAAAGGATCGAAGCAATTTTTCGAAAAGCTCGAAAATCGATAAAACTGCGAGATTCATTTAAGGTATTACTACGGTAAACTCAAAATCGCGTAATCGAGCTGAAATTTGTTTTACGTCTAATTTCTATAGCAGTACAACCCTCTACAAATTTTTAACACGACTCACTCATCAGTTTCCGAGTATTTCCGAGTTAATGTCAGGACTCGTAACACGTATTCCCTATACCTGGCCAATGAAACGCGCATGGTCTTTTTTATTGCATTTGACTCGTCCGCGTAATTGCGATGAAAAACTAGCATGTGCCAAAGGAAAAAATTAGGAATTTTTTAGATTTTTAGTCAGAACTTCTTACTCATAGGATTTATTGATAGACATGAAAGAAGTTCGATATTTATTACGAAATCTCTCGTACGACGGCTAGACAGAAAAGCGTTATGGCAACATTGCATTTGAGACTGTACTCGGTGTATATACGTATACACCACTAGATCCAATGTACATTAGTGCGCGCCTATCGATGCAGGGATGGGCGTGTGCGAGTGAACTGTACCGGTTCAAAAGTTGACGCTGGATTGTTCAAATCTTACATTGAAACTTTTTTTATTTTTCGGTCCGTAGTAATAACCTTAAAGTTTTCGTTGGCCAATTCAATCGGCGCGTCTATGAATGAAATTAACACCGCGAACCAAGTTGTGGACAATTAATGGGATAATTATATGGGGTTATATACTGCTCTATATATAGATACTCATTTAGTTATCCTACTTGACGTTAAACGTTATCACAGTCCTTACCTTGGAACGACTATTAAGGCCACTTGGGTTATACTACAATGAGGAGAAGGCATTAGAGCTTCTAGAACAAGGCAGGATTGGTACATGGGATAATAATAAAGGTGAATAAAGAAGAAAAAGAGAGAAAGAATAATTTTGCGAAAAATATGGAAAATACAATGCGCCCGAAATTTGAGGTAATTTTCAAATTTATCATTCGTAGAGTCCCGCGCACGCCGCATATAACCAAGGCAAATAGAGGCCAGGTTGTCACGTACCATTGAATGCGAGTGGCTCGCGCAGGAATGACGTTTATCAAAGTCCAATTCACAGTGTGCAAGTCCGAAAGAAAAATAATGCACGAGAGCCTTCAAAGTCCGAATTGAGGATAATGAAAAAAAGGTAACCCGTAGGAAAGTAGTAGCTGTGAGTTTTATGCAGTTTGAAAATGCAATAAAAAATATTACGAGGTACGTGTAAATTCGCCCTAATATACAAATTTATCGTTAATTCGTATTTTCTTGTGATCTTACTCAAGGACTTAAGAGCAGAGGTAATTTTCCTCAGTGACCGAAAATAATCTGCATTCTCGCGATCGTTTCCAGTACTACTTGTGACTTCGGCATTTTCCCACGACTTCCAGCGTCTCTGGTGTCCCACGGGAATTCAGTCGAAGCGTCGTCGTGGGTCTACATGATAGAATCTTCCAGACAGAAAACCTTATTGTCGAAGCCTTGACCGTAAGTCTGGATGAAATTCCATGAATGTCGAAGCGTCCCGTAAAATATTCTTATTGCTTTCTGGTCGGTTGATCTGTTTGAGGTTAATTGAGAAAAATTAGGATTCACGTAAGGTTTGGTTGGGTCATTGAAAAAGAAGAGGTATTTTTAAAAACAAAGGCCTCGTTATTATATGTACAGGCTGTTGATTTTAGCTGAATCTTAAATACTCCCACGTATACGCAATTTGCTTATTGGCATAGTATTATTATTCCAAGAGTTTTCGTGAACCTTTCACAAACCGAAGGGGAGAATTTGCAAATGATATCAGGCGCAAAATCTTAGTCAGACATCGTTATCTCGTACCTTTGCTTAAAGGACTGAAATTTTTTGCCAGAACTTACTACTCTTATCTTCTCGTGCACTGTGCGATTAATTAGTTGATTTTGAATTTACATTCGAGTCTAGGCACGCAGATGCTGTTTAAACATGTCACGAGGTTATACAATTTCCAAAATAGGTCCTCGTATACGTCCAATGAAATAGTACCACATTAAATGTTAATTTGTTAAATGATTTTTATTTCTCGACATACGTAAATATATATAGTCACGTAAAAAAATAAATCTGAACACTCGAACACCTGAAAATTTCGTTTTTAAATTTTTAACCTTAAAATATAATATCCAAATTTTTTACTCGTTTTATAATAATAATTAGTATCCTCCGCAAAATTTATCTTAGGCAACACGCTTATGGGTTTCTATGAGAAGATTAATGTATTTTCAAAAAAACTTATTAAACTTTAGCACGCAAGACAAGATCGAGCTTATAGAGTAGTAGAGGGTATTATGTCGCTCGTCCTTGATGCACCGAGAACTGTTGGCAAGGATGATCAACGAACTGTCAAATTCGAAAATGTATTTCATATGGAACGAGCACGGAGAAAGGGTGGTATGATTTAATGGCTGGCTTTTCGTTAATGCTTACGAAATACACGGTAAATCTGTAGATTTACAAACATTTGTCAAAATTTCAAATAACCGTATACATATACTTGCGTGGGTATCCCAAACAATAGGTAAATAAGAGATGCGAGACAATTGATAAAATTATTTCAGTCCCTTGAAATCCGCTGTCGTCGTTGAAATTATTACGATGCTTTTACTGAAATATTGTTCTCGAAACCTTTCGACTGACATTTCAACGAGCTTCTACCATTCGCAACGCCTCGATTACGCTTACTTACAATTACAAATTTTGCGATTGTCGCTAAAACTGTTTCACCGCATTATCCTTCTATTTATCTATATCTATATATTAATAATTACAAAGCAGCCGTCTGTCACTTAAATTTACATAAATTTTACGTGAGCACCCACGTTGTTCTGCAAAGAATTTTTTTTTTAACGTAAACCCAAATTCGTGTTTCAATCGTGGTTTTATCATTCGTTATGACGTACCTACCGTGTCGTTGTTCTTTTAAAGTCGTCTACATCGAGATGAGAGAAAGCGTATTTTATCATTTCGAAAAATCTCATGCTCGCGTTCCGTCTCTTTGTACTAGCCAGACGTAGTAGACGTTTCAATATATTTTTTGATACCGAGGTAGACGTGTTCGAAATGAAAAAAAAAATAAAATTAATAAATCAGGAATCATTAGGCATCTTATGGAAAAAAAAAAAAAAAAAACATCCCCTCGCAGTCGATGTAATAATAGAATAGAGAGAGAATGAGGAAGAGAGGAAGTAAAATTATGTAGATCCATAACGTTCTCGGCAAATTTTACCTTCATGAAAGACCCGCCCGGTCGTGGGTTGGAAGTGAAAGATCCGTATTACTCACTATGAAAAAAAATTTCTCTCTTAAGGTAAAACAGCAGTGGCAACCTTATGGATAAAAAATGGCCGAGACTGTGCGCCAGTGAGATACACCGGTATCCTGTAAAATGCTCACGCGACCATCAAGTTAAGCCTAAACCCGTCAGAAGGTTTCCTCCAGGAGTAAGCCCTATGCGAAAAGTACACACCTACTACGCAGGTATTATGGCTGTATAGCTAAAACGAAGGAAGTATTTTTTGATGAAAATATCATGGGATCCGAGCAAGCCTTTTCTACTTCCTTTTATTCCTACCATTCCTCCATCCTTGAATACGGCACAAGAAAAATTACCTTCGACGCAGTAAATTCGTTCCGAACCTTTCAAATGTGTGCATTAGAAAAAAGTAAAATAATAAAAACGAACCAGATCATGAACGCTCTCCCACGCGAAGGTGCATCTAACAATTATTTCGAATTAAAAGAATCCTTTGATTTTGAGGTTATGCCCACGTCCGTTCGAAATGTAAATTCTACATGCAATTAGCTAGATTGGAACTTTATTAAGCAACAGGTGGTCATGAAATAATTGGCAAAAGTACAAAAAGGAATATCAATAAAGCCACTGGGTAAATACGAACGATAAACATTATATTCAATAAACCCTCAGATATATACGTGGGTCAGTGTAATAAACGCTGAACTGATTTTTATCGCGATCAACCTCCTCAAGTAACAATTCTAACCTATCGCCGCCACCTAAACAACTTTCGTCACGAGTCCTAAGAGATAAAAATGGCATCGAAAATCGTTCAGTATATTTTTAGGCCAGACGTATACATGTCCCTAGTAACTCTTTGTAAAGTATAAGAAAAATATGTCCGTGCCGTCGAGTAACACGCAACAAGCTAGCACGTAAGTTGTTACCATCCAAAAAACGTCAAAGGCATGAAAAAAGAAAGTTACTGCTCGTATTCAACCCGGGTATAATCCAAGTCTCTATGTCGATAAACGCGAGTCCCCGCAAACATGGCAAACATTAGCATGTTCACTGTGGTTACCAACCAGAAGGAAGACTTTTATCCAACGTTCCTATGGCCAGCGTAAATACATATTTTCATAGGAAGATATCAAGGTGACAACGATATCAAAAAACATTTTCAGACTCGAGAGCGAGGGACGTGGATGCTTCTCCATTGAAAGTATCCTATACACGAAGAACCCTCTTGGATATAAAAAAAAAAAAAAGAAAAACGAATACTTACGTGGTAGCAAGACGCACGTTTACCTTCCATACAGAAGAGTAGACAGTGACAAAGTATGAGAAGACACCACTCCAAGGTCCCTGTCGTTTTCTCAAATGATTACATTTTGGAATCGCTGTTTCACTGAAAACTCACATTCCCCAGTGACTAGCTTTCCCCAGTATTATTTTTCCAAATTGTGATTTTCTCCGTAAATCAGATTCCTGAACTGTGTGAAGTCAGTTATACGCGAGCATGAATTTTGAGTAAAACGATTCGAGAATGTGATCGTCGAGGGAAGTTATAGGGACCCTACACTTTTCTATTGGCTCGTCGCAAGAGATTCAGCGAGATGTGTTCTTAACAATTTATCGAAGCATAGAGTGAGCATCGGTTCACTGGTTGCAATGGGTAATCAGGTATATCGTGTATCTCTTTGCTATCAAACCATAAAAGAAGAAAAGCACAAATATGTTCAATGATCACAGCCATGATTTCCCTCTTACGGTCTCTATTGGTACCTATTTCCGCCGCTGCTAATGGTCTATCCCATGGCGTTAGTCTATGGCGATGTTTCTAGTGGCGCACTCTAGTTACAAGGGGTTCACTCGTCCAAGCCTTTTTTAAAAGTTAACGAGCCGTGCCTCTACCGCGTTCTGTTCAGCCATACATACGCAAGCATAGGTTAGTTCGCGTAGGGTAGAACGCGAGAGACATTGCACGGATGAGATGTTTCAACTACGAGACTCAAAGGACAGTTAACACCCTTTTGCTGCTCATAGCCGTACGTTCACGCGGGACATCCTCTTACGTGGCTAGAGAATCCTGTCCCTGTGCACGTGTGCTCATGTGTCGAGCAGAGAGGCTACCTAACTCGGCTTAGGCAAACAAGCTGTTAATTAGTATAAGGTTCTAAGAGAATCGTGCATCGGTTCCATCACCTCGGATACAGCAAGTGAGTGGTCTCCCTAGACTGGCTATACGTAGGTAATACACATATGAGAACAAAAAACACAGGTTATGTTCCGTCAATGGAATCTGAAGCGATAGAAATTATTGTTATAAAATAATATACATTTTTATAAGCGAAAAAAAGGGCCTTGTAGGCTTCCTCAATTTATATGGGTATACATAGAAGTAGGGGTATAATATTTTAATTGATAGAAAGTATAACGTTCGTTTTCAGTTGAAAGTGTCAAAGTTCTTGTGCGACTTACTAGAATTTTTTTAATCTTGCACATAACCTAGTCCTGACACGAATAGTAGACACGAAATTATTCTTTAACATACAATATGAAATATGTCATGCGAACAATCGCCTGTCTTTTGCGTAACCGTACGCGTTTCTTTATCAGATTCGGGGAGGTTAGATGTTTTTGACAAAATTATTTCGTCCATGTTTACCCTACAGCTTACAGGTACGGATTGACTATGGGTATATCAATAGTACGCATATAGGGCACTGTAAAGAAAAGTCCTTTAGATACAATAGGATACGAGATTTGCCCTATTTACACTTAAGACAGAAGTAGTAGGAGCTGGGTCGAGTCCTAGAGAATTGAATAGGGTCGAATCGACTGGAGGAATAATAGAAGAGTTACGCAAAGTAGAACGCCATGGAACGTTAAATGGTCGAGGTTGCGTTCGAGGCACTGATGGAAGCGGGGATTAGATGAAATTTACGATGGTACTCGATTAAGAATAAACTTTACTTTAGAATTTGATTAACCCACTCAGTTAGTGAACTTTTCATTTCGTCCGGTAACGACCTTATCCGCACGTTAAGTACTCCACTCGTAATCCAATTTTAATCCGGTTAATACGACATTCTGTGAAACGACACAGACTGAGAATGATAGCTAGGACAAATGCATTATAGAGTATTACAGTAACGTATAGTCTATTTGAAAGTAACTGCAGCTTAAAGTTTCTAGATGAAAATTGCTACTGCGCCTGTTTATTCGAATACTTACGAAAATATATAAATATTGATAATAGAAACACAAATAGATTCTCACCAATTATATTTTTATTGTTTACTGCCATTTTACGAATTTCAATACATGTAAACCCAAATACAAATTTTTATTTTATGTTTCAATTCATAAAACACAATGTGGCCCTACTATCTCATAATAAAACATCACGTACCAATTTTAACCGATCTGACGTACCACAAGTTTCACGGTACCATTGATTTATCAGTCGACCACCTATATATATATTCATAAGTAATAAATTATTGAGAACCGGAATAAACGTAAGAAAAGTAGTTCGGAAACGTTCTAGCAAGCATCCCAGGAGGTACCCGTAACATAACCTATAAATCCGAAAGAAAAATCTCAAAGTAACGAAAAAGTAAAAAAAAAGAGCGGTTGGCCGCCTGTCGAGAGCGTATCTGCTATATACACGTGCAATATGAGTTTGTATCTTTATAATAAAAAAGAAATTAAAAAAATGGCTAAAATATACCACCATCCGTTTATCCATAGTACGTTACAAAAGCAATTACCAAGTAACTCGCAAAAGCCATTACGTTACATGTTCTCTTTTACGCTTGCGAACGTGTAGCAGACTTAGAGATCAGCACTGATGTACATATACGTATATATACCTAAATACGTTACACGATTTCACATATGCTGTATCCATAGCACATACGTAAAGTTTCACACGGAAGCTCGTACGTGGTTTTGGCATCACAGAAAAGAACGAAAATTAGAGTCAAGACAAAAGTTGTGTATGACGTGAGAAAAAGAAAACGGCGATATACCAGTCAACATATATCCACCGTTATACATCATATTCCTTGGAATGCTTAGACCTTACTCACAGGAAGCGAGTAACCATTCGTCTTGCCAGAGCAGCAGGGGGGACTAGTAACGAATTAAATAATAATCACTAAAAGGACAAGTAAGTACGTTACGCGTAACACAGAAATATCTTTGCCAAAAATTTAATCAAGATAAAATTCTTTTTCAGCAACCACAACGGGCTACCCAGGAAAATGCTCCTACCTGTTGTATTAATTGAACGATATGAATCTGACCTAAATACGTAGAGAGCCAAGTACTCGCACGTTACGAAGTGCACACAGTAGTCAAGCATATCGAGTGTACGTTTTGGTTTGCATACACATAGGATGAGACTGATTTATGCTCCACGATAGCGTACCGTTACTAAATCACAAGTGCATCTGTACCAACAGGGAATTTGGATACGTACTTATTTCCTGTGGAGTTTTCGAAACAGGTATTCCAGTTTACTTTTATTTCTTGCATTCAAACATCATTTCCACTGTTGCCTTAAACTCCTAAGAGACCTCTTCCTCTATCCATGCAATCTGTATATCTAATATGTAATACCTGCAGTCTACACAGGCATTATCATAGAGTTTTGTACGCTTGGCAGGAATGGATATTTCACGGCATCCTCTTTGTCAATTCATGTGCGACCCCTCGGACGTTATACTTTCAGGATGTCTCGCACTGCCTGGTTTGCAAAATTACTAAACGAATTATTAACGCCACTGATAAAGGTAACGCCAGTCCCCTTACGGTGTCGTATGCTCAATCTAGCTAACGTAACCTCACACGATCCCTTTACAGTACCTTGCGGTTGAGGTGTCTTCAGCTTACACTCTACTTCTCAAATCGCTTCTGCATCCTGACTTCACTCCACACTTCGCCAACGTGCATAATAATCCCATCGATGAACTTTAAGCGCGGCTGGAAGCCTAACGAGAAAGAGAAAACTTCTTTTACGTCACGGAAGACTAATTCTGCAAAGAGGAATAAGGTGAGCGTAGAAAATTGATAAATAAAACAACACATTTTTTTAATGTTCTTCTTCTTTTTCAGCCTTTACTCCAGTTTATTATTATAATAGAAAATTGAACCCAGCCGCTGTTACCAACCTTGTGCCTTTGAAAATTCCATCCTGACTACCGTTTTATGTGCTGCCGCGATTATTCCATTATTTTCGCGTGTACTGTGCTAATTAATAACGATCCAGGGGTCGAGGAGACTTAACCTGCTTTTAAGGGCGAAAGAGAGATAAGGTACAAGAGGTCCTGACACTTGGGCAAAGTTTCTATATCGTGACGACCTGCATGGTTTTACATGGTTAACTCGATATAACTCGTTTACGATTTGGAGGGTAGGCACAAATTTATTTGAAATACCAAAAAAAAAATTGATCTAAAGAAATTTTATTTCAGGAGATTCACCCTTTGTATACCAGACATTACCTTCAAGGCGTTACAACGTCTTCCGGCCTTCCAGAGGTTTAACGGTTTACGGTTTAGTTTGTGATGTCAGGTAGTAGGTCTTGGTACTCGTAAGAGGTTATGTTACTTAATTGTTATGGATTGTTGTTTTGGTCGAATTTCTTTTTTATCTTCACTTCTTCTTTCTAATACATACTGCTCGTTTATATACACCTGTCTACTTTATACCAAACTTGCACTTCGATAGCAATTCGATTACTCGGAAATGTCTACTACTACTGGATAGTACTACTCCTTAGCGATTCACCTCTTTAAATGCAATTGCTGCTCCAGTGCATTGTTGTAGTAGTCTGCTAGAATGACTCCAACACAATCCTCGTTAACGTAATCGAACTGGAGAGCAGAGAAAGGGCAAAATGAAAATAGAGAAAATCACAATTATACACTTTTATTTGATTATAATACCCAGGTGCGTGTACATTGTAATTATGTGCATGCAATTTTATAATTATTACCTGATACGTTTATGGGGAAAGATTTTTTATGGGGCTGAAGTACCGTGTATAAAGTGAGCGAGGTAAAATCTTGGAGCTTAGGGTAATCGGAAACTCATTTGAAAGACCTGAAGGCCTCATACATAAAGTGATCAAGAGTATTAAATCCTGAAACGTCAAAGAGAGTTAGGACTGGCAAGGGATGACTGTCGGGATTATATCCAGCACTAAGAAATTCAGAATCATCGAATTTAGTATCAAGGTATAGAAATAATCTGAGGTGATTCTTTTTTTTTTACAGCGGCAATATATATCATCCCTTTTGGAATAGACGTATGAGGCAGCATGATAAAGAGGCAAGAACAAATAATACATTGCTTCCTCCCAACCTTTTGCATACTTAATTCCCTTGCTTAAACCATCATTTTCTACACAGCGTTGACAATGTGGAAAGTGCATAGATCAGGTACACTGTTATTTAGTTGTGTTATATATATTATATATATTACTTATCCTGCACGGCTTAATGGTTGTGGAAACGAGTGGCTACTCACGTAAATTCCGCAAAGTCCAATGCACGTGCTGCACTAGCAATTAACACGACTGTGAAGTTTGCAATTTATTTTTTTTCACTTTTTTTCACAGAAAAAAGTTCAAGACAATAAATGTTGCAGTAAAAAATCTATTTACGTTAACGATCGTGTCCTGTGACATGGTTGTCACATTTTTTAGAAATTGGGTCGAGCTTCTTTCTTTCTGCTAGTCATAGAATAAAAATGCAATTTCGATTACTTTCTTGAAACGGCCAAGAATAATTGGCGCTCTTAGCTTTGCTTCTTTTTACGGTCCACCTGCGCTCGCTCGCCGTCTCCATTCTTCAGGAGGAACTGCTGTCTCTGATGTTGTCGGCAAGCTTGATTAGGTCTTCAAATCAGCAGCGGAATGATCAGAGGGTGAGTCTCTGTCTCGAATAGGCTTTACACGTGTTAGGGTACGCTAAGCTTATAAGGGGGATGAAAGAAGGTGGTCGGAAGGGAGAATTAAGGGAAGGGGTAAAGGAGGCTGAACTCGGGTGAAATCGGGTAAAAGGGGCTTCTACGAAGAGGATGGCTCACATGCTGTGCCATGAAATCGGCTGGGCGATCGGGCGTACGAATTGATCCAAAGGATGAAGCGTGCTCGAGTGCACTCAGTGTAAAATGCCTTGATAAAGGGTTAAAAAATAGAGGAGAAAGATTGAGTAGATCTATATATATATATATGTATAGCGCTGGTGTATTATAATACAGAGTTGTCTAGTTCAGTCACACCAGTCGGACTGGAGAGGGATGGTTCGTAAGGAAAATTGAAAAAAATATAAAATCAATATCGATCAATATTTCCCAATAAAATAAGTCATCGGTTTGATCGATGAATGAAAAAAAAAAAAAAAAAAAAATGATCAATTTTTTTAAGATTTTCAACTTTCCTATACTTGCAGCGAGTGCGAGAGAGACAGAGCCATCGGGCTTCGCGTGGATAAGACAAGGACGGATGTACCGATTGTCATAAATCGTGAGTAGAGACCTTCGTTCGTTTTAAGCTTGCATGTTTATTGTCCGATGACAATGTTTTTAATTTTGAAATTATTTATAACGATATCTACGTATGAGAAACGACGTTTCAGGTGCTCTCGTGAAAGCCTTCGACACTTTTTTCGTTATCTTTCTGCTTTCCCCAAAGGGCAAAGTAAGTTTCGCAAATTGGAAAATCTGCCTGACGGGATCTCTAGTGGTCCAGCCGAGCTGAGTATTCTTATCGGCGATGCGAGAACTTTCGCTTGCACAAATGATCGATGTCCGCCTTACTTTTCTTTTTCGTCCTACTTCCTTTGTATCTTTCCTCCTCTCTTCGTCTCCACTTGTGCGATACGCTCTCGTCTGTACGTTCGGTTCTTTGTGCATAAATTTTTATTGGCGCCAGGGGATCGCCATTCTTGAAATCTTTTGGATCTAATTTTTTTCCACTTTTTCCCCTCTCTCTTTTTCTCTCGTGCAGCCTCTTCGAAGGAACGGGTACGATAACGAGGGTAATAATTTTTTGGAATTGTTATTCTTACCGGTGCGCCACGGTCCCCATGAGAATTTCATGGAAATACTGAACGTTTTGTGACACTCGCTTCTCCTTTGGAAAACCGCAAAGTCTTTAACTTGGGGAGGTTCGTTTTTTATTTTATTTCATTTTACCTCACGAGATTACCCATTATTTCCTGCCGATTCTTCGGACGTTTCTTGACTTATTCATTCCTCATTATCATTCCTGATATTCACATTAATCACAATGGATGTCGTAAGTACATTACTAGATACCTATTGGACCACGTAAGACCGAAGCGCACTGCACATGTATTCTAGAAAATTACCAATTAATTTACACCAGCGATTTTTCCAAGTTAATCAAATTTTGAAATTAATCAGTTTTTTCACTGCTCAGATTGGTAATTCCTAAACAGAATTTCATACTATTCATTAAGTCTCAAAGTGATCACTATACACCGCGTGGACTGTCCCGTTAACGAGTAGTGGCGATTTCTATGTTCTCTCTATAGGCAGAATTAACAGACTAGGAGAATATTGTTCAAGGATCCCTTAGGTACGTTAACACTTACATATGATGATTTCGTAGAACGTTACTGTTCATCTTAACTCAAAATCAGTATAGATATATCCATGGAATATAACCTTTTAATAACCAATAAAGCTGTATATACATATACATATGTGTACATTATGGCAGTCGCGCTGGCTTCGCATAAAATACTTAACAAAGGTTAAATTGCGAATAAATACGTAATATCGTTTCCCGTGTCAGTCCTCATGTCTCCCCCAGTGACCTACTGCCTATATATTTCAGTGCATAATTTAAACCGAAGAGACGGTGAGCGCGGAAAGTGAAAAATCAATGTAAAATTTGGAGACATCAAGTTTCATTTGACTTCACCTAATCGAAGTAATAGTGATAAGAGCAAGGAAATTGAAAAACATACGGAATCTGACGTCACGAAGGGGTGACGTCATTTTCGTTTCATACAGTTTTACTACTTCTGGTAAAATGTCAGGTGCTTTACAATGGTAATAAAATCACCGTCTTTTATCCACAAACGAGTTTTCAGTTTACCATTACGATGATGCCTTGGGATCCGATAACTAATAATGCCTTATCTATGTAAAGGAATGATAAGTCACGTGGGTTATTTAACGTGGAAAAAGAAAAAAAAAAAAATGTAAGCAGGGACGAATCGTTTGTTTCGTGACGTTTGGAACTTCCGGTTTTAATTGAAATTCGAGTAATTTCGGTATCCGGCTTGTTTACTTGGAACTCACGTTAATTAATTTCAGGTCCAAATATCACACTGAAGATCTTGTTCGCCATCGTCTAACGCCATGGAAATCCATTATCATTACCATTAGGCTACTATTACGTAATTGGCTGTAACGATATTGCTAAAGGTCATGGTGGACAGAGAGAGGACTCGGTTGGGTTTAAATTATTTGTAATTAATTTCCTTTAAGTGTAGCATCTATTGACGGCAAACGTACCACTTGAAGTTAGCCTCTCCGATTTCTGTGGTAATGCCATCTTCAGGTGGTACGTTTGCTGGTAATATGACTGTGTTTAGCAGATGATGATAATAATAATAGCGCCTTTATTGTCAGTATCTTACAGCCAAATAATGAGAATCAGTTAAATGTATATCTACTTTATATTCTGATCCACACAGTTCAGCGTCGGACTTTCTCCCAGCTTTGGTTGGACCTGCAATTGGTTTTTTTAAAACACTTTTTGACTCCTTTTCTTGCACAAATGTAGAGGCAGTTTCTTAATATTTTTTCTTCAATCTCATTATAAAACACCGCGTCGTAACAAATGGGTGTACGCCGATAAATAAGCCGTTGACAGTTGACGCTTTTCCACGATGCTTCGGACGCCACTAAGTCATTGCGCAATGCTCGAGCTGGCAGCGCAGTAGTGGGGGAAAACTCGGGCGACGAATTTCTTGGAATCTTATTCGCCTAACCGCCTTTACTATCTCTCTTGTTACAAGGTAGCATTCTGTGGATGATATTTGATTGTCAAGTATACACTGGTAGTTGGAGAAACTCTGTTAGCCAATGGGATAGTATAGGGTTGACGGATTAGGGTCGAAGAATAATGTTCCTGGCTGCGTATACGGGACCCGGGGGTAAACCTGAGTCACATAAAGGATGTAACTTGGTTGAAATTGCTTGACCAATTTGTCCAAGTATGCCAGTTGAGGCTTGATAAATGCGAAAGTACTCTAGCCCTTTTGCTACGTGTGGGCCCGGTTTGTTGGCCCTCGGTAGTTATCTGAAAACTGTTACTGGCCAATGTGGCAGCCCCGTGCGGTTACATTCGTCCACATCGGCCGCGCCAGAATTTCCATGTACTGCGTAGATGAACCTGGCGTTAAAACCGTAGGGTGTATCTGGTATTTTCATATGATATAAATATAAGCCCTTTCATTTGACAGGTTAATCACCTGCGATGTATTTCAATTTCGTTAAAAAACTTTGTCATTACTCAATTTCGTAATTGAATATCCTATCAGCACGTTGTTGAAAAATAAATATTAAAAAAGGTTAACAAGGGTAAATAAATGTTGGTTGAACAACAGCGTTTCTTCTAAATTTCAAATGGGACTTCTCTGATAGGAATTGTTGAGCGAACGGAACGAAAGTTTTTCAAGTTTCGCAAAGCCTCGGTTCGGACTGTTATTTTATATAACGTTATGAAGAAAATATATATTTACGTTTGGATTTCTTGCTCCACAAAGACGTCCACTTGGCGCATTACGAATAACGTAACCTTTATAACATGGTTTATATTTTACCCATACACGGTTGCTTATCTACAGTCGGTAAGAAGAGTGTTTGGATTTATGTATATGTATATATATATGTATATATTGTTTTTCTAACTCACCAAGCTCGACGATATTACGAAGGTGCTTGGTCGTCTCTTTTTTTCATTTATTTCCCTTCTCCCGTCGCATTTTTTACTACCAGACCGTCGACGCCGAAGTCCCTTGAATTTTAAGCGAGTCGTCCTGTCGTTTCTCCTTTTTTGCCACCGTTCCCTCCGGTCAAAAAAAAGAACGCTACACGTCACGACGCTTGGCGAAAATAACGCGAAAAAAAATAACGCATGTAAACCGACTCGACAGTAAAAGTAATACATTCGATCCTATTCCACGGTGATTTATATCCAAACGATAGCATTTTGTTCCGTATTCGTTTCTATACTCACTATATATATATTGTAACGTAATTCTTTTAACTTATGACCCGACACCGATAGCAAAACATACGAGAACGACTATCTTCAAGAAGCAACCTACGTTACCTTCGGCCGTCCAGCCGTCGTTCGTGCATCCGCCAGTCAGGCGGCCGCCAGCCAATGTCCACCCGTCGTTCGTGCATCCGCAAGCCAGGCGGGCGCCAGTCAATTCTTTTTTCACCGGGAACTGACGAGCCGGTATAAACTGGGAGTTGGGATGGAACAGGCCCAACTCCACCAAGAACGAGAGCTCTGACGGAACCTATCAGAAGAGGCGATAGCTTAACGGATCCTGTCGATTTTTGGGGACGCGTAAAATCGAGAAACGCAACCGTAGGTGCTGATCTTTGGGGTCGCGTAAAATCAGCAAACGCAACTGGATACACGAACGGGAGCGGACGGTTACGGAAATGCACGGCCGCTCAGGCTGCTGGGTTTGAGGTAGAGAGGGTCGGAGTAAGAGTCCGGCAAGTAGTGCCAGAGACAGAGAGCGACGAACCGAGAACGTATCAGGACGA